CCCCCACCACTGACAGTGAATTGGGGGCTATGAGCGAAAGTATATCAAGTGCTGGAAAGGGAGGCCAGCAAAACTGTCATCAGAAGGGAACCAGGTCTCAATGAGGGCAAGAATACGGATGGAGTGGAAAAGGAAAAGATATACGAGGAAAGCAAGTTTGTCACCTGTGGAGCTGGCATTCCAGAGAACACAGTGAAAGGGATGGACAGCCTTAGAGTGGGGGCATTGGAGAGTTTGGGTTAAGAGGGAAAGGAATACGGAAATAGCCAGTGGAGTCCTAAGAATGGGATTTGAATGATGGCAGATGGGGGTTCAGAATCACTGGGATAGGGGAAGAGGTATGTTAATCATTGAGGAATGAGTTCAGATAGGTTATCATTGTTCATAGACCGTCAACCTCGGGGTAATGTTGTTCTAGGGTGTAAGGCAGCAGAGGGTAGCTGGAAGGTGTGGAGAGCGGGTGCCCAGGGTCAGGCAAGCCAGCTGCTATGTAGTCTGAGTGATGGAAGAAAGTAACTAGAGAGCAGCTAGGTGGCACAGTGGATAGAGCACTGGGCTCAGAGTCATGAAGACGTGAGTTCAAATCCAGCCTCAGACACTTACTAGCTGTGTTACCCTGGGCAAATCACCTAACCTCTCCCTGCCTCAGTTTCCTCATCTGTAAAACAGGGATAATAATAGCACCTCAGAACAACAATAGGTTGTTCTGAGAATAAAATGAGACAATAATTATAAAGTGCTTAGCACAGTGCCTGGCACTTAGCAAGCACTATATAAATGTTAGCTATCATCATCATCATCATCATCATCATCATCATCCTCCAAGAGCTGCCTTGAGAGTCCAGGAAACCCTTCAGGGCAGGCATAAGCAAACCAATTGCTTTGGAAGACTATGGTGAGAGTGCTGGAAAGTCCTCCTGAGAAGCAGGCTGTTGGAGAGAGAGCGGAGCAGCACCCCGTCACTTGACTCTGGCTGGTGCTCCCAGAGGACATTTGCTACCATGGGGAAAAGAGGCCATCTAAACTCCCTTAACAGCAGCAAAAAAGGTGGCAAAGTTGATAGAGCACCAGTCCTGGATTCAGGAGGACCTGAGTTCAAATCTGGCCTCAGACACATAACACTTACTAGCTGTGTGACCCTGGACAAATCACTTAACCCCATTGCCTAGCCAAAATAAAACCCCAAAAAACAAATAAACTCCCTTAACAGATGAGAGGCCCGAGGCCCAAGGGAATTTGAGGGGCTTACTGGACTAAGATCTCACAGGTAGTAAGTGGAATAAGCAAGATTTGAACTCAGACCCTTTGATTCTAGCTCCAGTGATCTTTCCACAGTACTCGCACAAAATTCTAGAGAATTTCCAGGAGGACCTGAATATCCATGATACACCTTCACCTTGAATCAATATGAATAAATAAATAAATAAATAAATAAATAATTGGGGAAAAAAAAAAACAAACCCAAAACATGAAGTATCTACTATGTTCCAGGCATTGTACTAAGTACTGGAGATAAAAAAAAACAAAACAAAACAAAACCCAAACCAATCCCTGCCCTCAAGGAACTTCAACTTTAATAGGGGGAAACAGCCTATATGGGGGTGGGGTAGGAGGAAGGGGAGGGGCGTTTAGGTTGGGCAAGTTCCAGGGAGGTGAGGAGAGCCCCAGGGGAGTTGACTAACACACTTTTTCTAGTTAGCTATGGCAGCATTGCGTGGTTTATGGTTCTAACACAGGGAAAGCAGGAGCAGTGATGGACAACATGCAGAAATTAACAGAAGTTACAACCTGAAAGCCAGCAGACCAAGAGGAGCCGGTGTTCTTCTGTCTTCACATACACAATGAGTGCCCAGCTCAGGACCCTACCCCCCCAGTGGTTGCTCAATGGATACTGGTTCAATTGAATTGAATTGCATTTAAAAGTCATGCAGAATACAAAGTGTGAGAGGGTCTCCCAAACTGGAAGGATTTCTAGAGAGAGCCTATAATCAACCTTGTTAAGTGCCTTGGGGTTCCTTACAAGGAGACTGGACAGTGAATGAATTTTTTTCGAAGACTCATAGAACCAGACATTGGGAGGACCCTCAAGGCAATCAATCAGTTAATAAATATTCATTAAGTTCCTACTATGTGCCAAGTGCGGTGTTAAATGCAAGGGATACAGAGGGAAAAGACAATCCCTGCTCTCAAGGAGCTTACAATCCAACTTTTTTCTTTTCTTTTCTTTTTTTTTGTTAGGCAATTTGGTTAAGTGACTTGCTCAGGGTCACATAGCCAGAAAGTGTCAAGTGTTTGGTGTGAGGCAGGATTTGAACTCAGGCCCTCCTGACTTCAGGGCCGGCGCTCCATCCACTGCACCACCTAACTGCCCCCTCAATCCTATGTCTTAATATGCACCTAAATAGTGATAGCTAGTATTTACATGGAGTTTCAAAGTTTACAAATTATTTTACAGCTTTGTGAGGGTGGGGCTATTATTAATAATAATAAAAACAATAATAACTAGGATCTTTAGCTAAGATTTGCAAAGAGTTTTACATATGTCTTCTCCTACAATCCTCATAACAACCCTGGGAGGTAGGTGCTATTATCATCCCCCATTTTGCAAATAAGGAAACTGAGTCTGCGAGAGGTTAGCATGTTGTTTTCCCTGTTGGCTCCTTGAGAGCAGAGATTGTCTTTTGCCTTTCTTTGTATACCCAGAGCTTAGCACATTGCCTGGCACACAGTACACGTTTAATAAAGGCCAGTTGACTGATTGGCTAATACAATTTGCAAGTTGACCTCAGGTCTTCCTGTCTTCTTCCCCCGGTCTCATGTCCTAGACACAACACCACCTCCAGAATCCCCACTTAGGTCACCCTTTAGTGTGGTTATTCTGCCCGCCTCCACTTGAAGCCCACACCTAGAAGGGGTGAGAAAGAAACTGCCAACTCTCCAGGTAGCTTTTCTACTTTGGGAGAGCCTGCGTTGTTAGGAAGTTTTTTTTCCCTGACATCTGGTCTAAATGGACCTTTCCATGACTTTCATTCACTGCTCCAAGTTTTGCCCTCTGAGGTCAAAGAAAAGTCTTTGAGGCCTTGGCTACTCGGGGAGACCCTCGACTGAGGTACGGTGTGTGCTGGTGACCTGTGATCTGCATCACTGGAGGGAAAGCCCACAATGAAACCAGAGACCTTTTGAAATACTGATGTGTGCTGATACGATCTGTCTTATCCCCAGGATCACACTGTCTGTCCTTAGAAGGCAGAGACCATTGGAGGGTTGGTTGGAGGGGTTTTTTCTCTACTCCACAGAAGATAACCCTAAGTACCTAGAGTCCTAGAACATCCCATAAATGCTTGTTTACTAAAATACAGGGTGGGCAATTACTAGGTCCACCGTCTTGCTTTCTGGAAAATGGTCCATTTCCCTGCCATCACACACTTGTTAAATCAGCATTGACATTATGGTGGGGTTTTGAATAGCAAGAGACACTCATGAAGTTCAAGTTGCCCATTTTACAGAGGAGGAAACAGAAGCCCAGCCCAAAAGGGGAAGTGACTTGCCCAGACTTACATAGTTAGGAAGCACCAGAGCTGGGATTTGAACCCAGGGCTTCTGACTCCACATGGGTGTTCTTTCCATTCTGCAACACAACCTCTCATTGAATGGCTTCCATGCCCAATGCACTAGGCAGGAGGAGGGAGATATGGAGCCTTAGAACTAACAGCAATTACATAGCTCTTCAGGGTTTGCAAAGCACTTTGCAAATACTAGCACTTTTTATTGTCACAATAACCCTAGGAGGTAGGTGTTACTATTATCCCAATTTTACAGATGGGGAAACTGAGGCAGACAGCTGTTAAGGGAATTACCCCGGTCACACAGCTAGGAAGTACACAACAACCCTAAGAGGTAGGGGTTATTATTACCATCTACCTAAGGTCATATCTGAATTCAGGTCTTCCTGATTCATTGGACCACCCAGGTGCCTCTCTCCAGGTAGAGAACACATCACCTCCCCCTGTCCCATCAACCCAAACCTGTCTCTCCTCTTAAGTTACCTAACTAATTGAAGGAAATTTGGATGGTAAATCTGGAGAAGAGAAAGTCGAAGGCATGAATTGGCTTCAGGTATCTGAAGTGCTCTCCCATAGGGATTAGACTGCTTCTGCTTGGCCTCAGAAGGAGGAAATAGGAGATCAAATTTAGGCTTGGTGTCAGGAAAAAGTTTCTAATCATTAGAGTTTTCCCAAAGTGGAAAGCACTGCCTCAGAGGGTAGTGAGCTGTCTGTCACTGGGTTTCAAGCAGAGTCTGAATGACCACTTGCCAGCTGTCTCCACTCCCACCTCATCCCAGCAGGCCCCACAAAGCCATAATGGGGATATGTTTAACAAAATAAATAAAAATACAATGCGACATTGATAATGCTAATTTGTGGTTTTCTGAGTCAATCTATGGCCATCATTTCTATTTGAATTTGACATCACTGGTCTATAGGAAAAACTACAATTCCTGATCCTATCCTTCTGGCTCCAAAACATGCACCCAGACTTATCTGCATCATGCTTCCCATTTGAGTGTCTCTACATTAGCCAGTCTGGACTGCTCACCATTCCTGGTAGCTCACCCTGACTCATGCATTTGGGTGATCTCGTCGCCATTGGTGGGACTGATTCCAGTCTCTTGAGATCCTCAAAGGCCACTTTCCTTGTGAAGCTTTGCTCAGTTTAAAGCCACTGCCCTGTCCTCACCTTGTTTGGAAGGCCCTGCCAGCTCCAGAAGTCTAGGACTGGACTTATCCAAGGATTGGAGAAGTTTTTGAGTTCAGAGAAATGAGGGCACTATAAAACTTCCCTCTGGACATCAGTGGGATGACTCAGCATGACCCTGCCCCACCTGGTAAGGCCTTCTCAGTGCATCCTGAGTCTCCCAGACACTCAGGGGCTAGGGACCAGGATGCCCCAGGGAAGGCGTCTTCCTGGCTGCTCCCACCTGTGTGGTCTTCCTTCCTTACCTGAGAGGCAGAGGTAGCAGCAACTCCCATAAGACTCATTGTAGTGGAAGCCAGCTTCACACGGGTCTTGTTTCTGGGGGACAGACATAGGGAGAGAGGGTTAGGCAGGGTAGGCCAATAGAGTTTGAGAGCTGCCAAATCAAGTCAAGTCAAAGAGCATGTATCAAGTGCTTCCTGTGTGCCCTGCATTGTGCTAAGTGCTGGGGATACAAAGAACACAGTCCCTGTCCCCCAAGCTCACAGTCTGATGGGGGAAACACCATGCAAACAACTATGTAGGAAAAGATACATACAGTAAGACAGGAAGACAATCTCAGAGGGAAAGAACTGGAGAGGGGGGTTGGGGGAAATGTATTAATAAACAAATACTTTTAAAATTTGTCAGTTTTAAGTCAGACAGTCTAACTCAGACAGGAGTTAGAAAAGGGAAGAGGAATGTAATAGGCAATAGTTAGGTAGTACAGTGGATAGAGCAGAGCGCTAGGCCTGGAGGCAGGAAGACTCATCTTCCTGAGTTCAAATCTGGCCTCAGACACTTACTGTGTAACCCTGCGAAAGTCATTAGACTTGTTTGCCTCAGTTTTCTCCTCCGTAAAATGAGCTGGAGAAAGAAATGGCAAACCTCTCCAGTATCTTTGCCAAGAAAACCCCAAACAGAGTCACAAAGAGTTGGGCACAACTGAAAAATGACTAAACAACAACATTATTATAAAAATAGCTTTTACCTTCTGGACTCCCTGAAAGGGTCTCAGGGACCCAGAGGGATCCACAGACCACACTTAGAGGACCTTGGCTTCACAATTTACAAAGCATTTTCCTGGCCGTGATCAAGCTGTAGCTTGGTGTCCTATTAAAATACAAATGGATCCCTGATCCATTGGCTTAGAAAACTACAAATTAACATTATCTATGTTGTGTTGTATTTTTATTAATTTTGTTAAATATTGCCCAATTATATTTTAATCTGATTCAACCTGGGTTCAAATCGACACTCTTGTTGTATGACTATGGTGTGCCTCAGTTTCTTTTTCTGTAAAATGAGGATAACAATGCCTGTAAGTGCCTACCTCCTTTGTGAGAAAAGCCTTTTGTACCACAGAAGCATTCAGAGATCTTAGTAGACTTTATGAAATTAGTGAGAGTCTGTGTGCCTTTCTAGAAGACAGAAGGCCAGCCTTGGAACCAGGAAAAACGTGGCTACGAGTCCGAGTGCTGTCTCTGACACCTGCTGGCTGTGTGACTCTGGGTAAGTCACATCACCTGTCACTGTTCCAGGCCCCTCTCTCAGGCTGTAAGCTGCAGGTGAGCATTGGTGGGGAAGGTTTCCATCACTAGTCCCTAACATCAGTGAAGTCACAGATACTCCCTGACCCTCTCCTAACACAAGAAAGCAGCGCCATCAACAGAGTGAAAACAAAGGAGATTTGTAATTGAAGGACTTCATTTTGAAACCAGCTTTGCTACTCCACGCACCAGCCTCGTCACCATAACAAATAGCTAGCTAGCATTTATATAGTTGCAAGTTGAAGGGCAAAGAGCTTTAGAATATCCTTTCATTTGATCCTCACAATAATCTTTAGAGGCAGGTGCTTTTATTATCTGACTCTTCATGACCCCATCTTGGCAAAGATACTGGAGTAGTTTGTCATTTCCTTCTCCAATACTCTGTTTTACAGATGAGGAAATTGAGGTAGAAAGCCATTAAGTGACTTGCCCAGGGTCACACAGCTTGGAAGTTCCTAGGGTTGGATTTGAACTCAAGTCTTCCAGAGTCCAAGCCCAGTGATCTATCTCCTGATACCTAGATGCCTCAAGGTCACTAACCTCTCTGGGCTTCAGCTTTACCATCTGCAAAATGAAGAAATTGGGTTAAATCAGGGGGTTCTTAATCTAGGGTCCATGGATCCCCTAGGGACCAGAGGATAGATTTTAGATTTCAAGAACTAGGATGAGGGGGAAAAAAATTACATCATTCTTTTCACTAATCTTTGTTTTCCTTTGTAACCCTCTGTGTTTTATTCTGTGCATTTGAAAACATTATTTTGAGAAGATGCCCACAGATCAAGACTGCCAAAGGGGTCTGTGACACACACACACACACACACACACACACACACACACACACACACACACAAGGTTAAATGTCTCCAGATTAGATGAGCTTAGGTTCCTTCCAGAGACTATTATTATCACTATCACTATTTTAGGGGTCCTTTGCAAACCACTTTTCTCTCTTGACCTCAGCTTCCTCATTTGCAAAATGAGAGGATTAGATTAGATGGCTTCTAATTCTATGATCCTATGGCCTGTCTGGGCCTCGATTGTCTCTTTTGTACGTGGACACACACAGGCTACATGGACACCCTACCCTACCCCACACCCTCATGGGGGGAGGGCCAAGCGGAAGCCTTGAGTAGTCAATCTCCACCAATCAGGAGAATCTTAATGGAAATGAGCTTTGGGCCGAGGGTTACATGCAAAAATAGGGGTTGGACTAGATGATCTATGATCTTATGGTGCCCTGACCTATAAAATGGAGACAATATATCAATTTTATATCACAGTTGTAAAGATTGAATAATAGTAATCCCTGACGTTGATCAAGCATTTTATGGCTTCAAAGAGCTTGACACAGATTATTTGAGCCTCCCAATCACCCTGGGGGGATCGTTATCCTCATTTTACAGATGGACAAACAGAGCCTGAAAGAGTTGAAGTGACTTTCACTTGGTTACACAGATAATAAATGTAATAGACACTTTCTGAACCCAGATCTCTCCTGACAACCAGTCCAAGGTCCTCTCTACCACACCATACTCACTGTTTCTCAATCTTGGTTATGAAAACACTTTGTAAACTATAAAATTCTCTTTGTAATCTATAATGTACCAGGCAAATGTGATGCATTCTTGTACACACCCACATTCAAGGGTACCCAGTACATCTCTTTGGGGCTATTATAAAAAAAAAAACAAAACACTGAGGACTCAATCAATCCAGTAACATTTATTAAGTACCTAATATGTGTCAGATACTGTTCTAGGGGCTGGAGATACAGGCAAAGAAGGAAACGATCTCTACCAGCAATGAACTTACATTCAAATAGGAAAACAGGTGCTTATAATATATATTTACACATATATTATATATATACATATATATTATATACATAATAGCCAGCATTTTAATAGTATTTTATTTTTTCCAATTACATTTAAAGACAATTTTCAACATTTCATTTTTATAAGATTTTGACTTCCAAATTTTTCTCTCTCCTTCCCTTCCTCCCTCCCCACTCCCCTCCCTAAGACAGCAAGCAATCTGACATAGGCTATACATGTGCAGTCATGTTAAACATATTTCCACACTAGTGGAAATAGAGCTAAGTCAATCATAGGTGGTCACTGCTCAATGTAGCTGTTACTGTGTACAATGTTCTCCTAGTTCTGCTCATTTCACTCAGCATCAGTTCATGTAAGTCCTTCCAGGATTTTCTGAAATCCACCTAATAGCCAGCATTTCTATAGCATTTTAAGGTTTGCAAAGCATTTTATATGTTATCTCAGCTGATCCTCACAACAACCCTGGGTAGTAGATGCCATTATTATTATTATTATTATTATTATTATCATTACAATTTTACAGATGAGGAAACTGAAGCAGATCATGGTTGTGACTTGTCCAGGGTCACACAACTAGGAAGTGCCTGAGGCCATATTTGCACTCAGGTCTTCCTAAATCCAGCCCCAGTGTGCTAGCCACTGAGTCACCTAGCTGTCTCTAGGGAAGAATGAGGAAAGTGTGAAATAATGTCAGGTTTATGAAACAAGATGACTAGAAGGATGGTGTTGTTTTCATTAGAAATTGGGAAATGTGGAAGAGGGGAGGGTTTTGGGGAATAGATAATGGGTATAGTTTTTGATATATCAAGTTCGAGATTTCTTCAGGATAATTAGATCCAGGGAAGTTGGTGAGGCTACAGAGAGAGAGAGTGGGGTGGGGGAGAGGAGAGGAGGGAGAAAGGGAAGAGGGAGGGAGAGGGAGAGAATGAGAGAGACAGAGAGACAGAGGGAGAGACAGAAAGAGAACAAAAGTGTCTAGGGCCAAACTTTGAGGAACACCCACAGTTAGGTTACAGGATATGGATGATACAGAAATGGATACTGAAAAAGAGCAGTCAGGTAGATAGGAAGTGAACAGAGTGAGAGTAAGTTGTAAAAACCCAGGGAGGAGAGAGTATCTAAGAGGAAAAGGTGATCAACAGTGGCAAAGGCCACTTTGGATTCAGCCAAAAGGCCACACTTGAGGACCTAGAGGGCCACATGTGGCCTCAGGGCCACAGGTTCCCCACCCCTGCCATATCTCATTTTTATCTCACAACAGTCATGTTATTGCCCTCATTTTACACATGGAAATTCAGAGGGATTAGTTGAATTGCCCAGGGTCACAGAACTGGTAAGTGTTTGTGGCAGGATTTGTGCTGAGGTCTTACTGACTCCGAGTCCAGTATTCAATCCACTTGGCCCCATGATGAGGATGGTGGAGTGCAGGGGATGGCGCAGGGTGTCCTGGGAGGGGACCTGTTCTGTTGGTCCTTCCCCAGACCCCTGGCCCATTTGGTCCTTTGGCATGTCCTCGTAAGTACAAGTCAACCAGATGAGGGGAAGAGGCATCTCCCCTGCCAAGAGAAAGAAGTGAGTCTAAAAGAGTATCTGAAAGGCAGGGAGAACTTTGGAGCTCAAGGCTGGCACTTCATCTCCCTGGGGCAGCCACAATCACTGTCCAAATGAGTTCTGGTTTCCTTTTCAGCTAGTGTGTATATGGGGGAACCATCTTAAGCTAACACATCATGCAAACAGATTCCCCTGTACTTCACCCATGCTGCACTGGGATTTTCTACCCCAATATTAAGTTTATCAAAGAGCTCTGGCCCCTGAGAACTCAGGTCAACCTTAAGAGATGACCAGCAAACATGACCTCAGCCCCAGGCAACCCCACTGCCTTGATATATGAAGCTTGAAATGAATATGGGGAAAATTTGCTCTCCCCTGAGTGCCTAGTACTGGGTTTCCC